AGGCTTTCCAGCAGAGGAGGCCCTGGCAGGATTGACATGTTTCTAGCCCTGGGCAGCTCTGAGGCTCTCTAATATCCAGAACAAGGCTGGGCCCAAGTGCAAGAGTGATGGAAGGGTGGAGGGAGGGACAGACGGACACGATAGATGTCTGGGGGATAGGAGACAGGAGAGCAGGAAAGGCTGGAGCCAAGCTGAGGCTGGATGGAATTACCCAAGGTCTGTCTCTATCTAGAGAGAATTTTAGAATTCTTTCCTCAGTCTCTCTCTCCTATGGCCTCAGTCACCTGTGAGCTGAGGGTGGGGAGCTGAGTGCAGTAATGGGACCACGTGTTCCTCCTTCACTCAGTGCTCCTCCACTTCTGCTCCAAGCTCAGCATTGGCTCGGACTGGGGAGAGGGAGGTGGCCTTGGCGAGATACCAGGCAGAGGTGCCTGGCTTCACACCAGCTGTGATAGAGAACCCAGGAGAGTGAGGGCTCTGTGGTTGTGCTGGATGGAGGACCTGGGACAGCTCACATAAGAGGTTCCGTCTGAGCTGTTCCCAGGGGCTAATAAGATTTGCACAGACTGAAGAGGAAGAGGCTTCTAGGTAGAGTGACCTGTGTGCTGTGTACTGTGCATGGGCCGGGCAGCAGGAAAGCAGACGTGTCCAGGATGCTCAGGTGGTGGGGAAAATGGAACTGAAAGCGATGCGTGCATGAGCTGGGAGGTGGGCGCGGAGGATGCAAGACTCCCTCCCTTGCTGGGAGACCCCCTGCTCGTGGTCAGTTGCCTCTGTATGCCCTCTGCCTGTTCATTTAAGGTCCTGGTAGACGCCCCTGGTCATGACAGCATGGCTTCCCATTTCTACCTGCTGTGGGTCGGGACTCCTCTTCTCGTCTGTCCTGAGCCCAGTGCCCTTGGAGGACATCTGTGCCCTGCAGGTCAAAGCAGAAAAGCTGAACACCTGACAAAGCCACCTGAGGAAAGCGTGGGCTGGGTGTGGTAGAAACTGGAGGATAAGCAAGTATGTGACTATCAAAGGGCACAGATGTCACTGAACTCCCCCAGTGCTGCTGTTTGGGAATTCGGGCCTGGTGCTACCAGAGCTGTGAATTTTTCAAGCTTGAAAAATCCAGATTCTTATATGAAATCTCTTGATTTTTAAGTAACTAATTTAAAAATGTTTCAAACACCATTCTCGCTAAGCAAGAGCATCTTGGACCCAAGTGGCCCGTTGTTGAGCCCTGAGTGAAGTGAGAGGGAACTGTGGCTCTGTGTGCCCAGGACCAGCCCAGGCCACTCTTGGGCTGGGCAGAGAGGCCGGGGCACTGTTAGTGGTGGCCCTGGGCATTCCTCAGGCAGAATTCTAGTCAGAGCTGCCCCGGGCAGCCACCGTGCCAGTCTGTGGCAATATTAGCCCCTGTGCTCAAGGCTGTGGACTGGCCCTTTTGCCCCTCTGGACCAGCCCCTGTGGGCCGGGGCGGCTGGGCACTCCCACCAAGTCCCAGCGGGCAGACAGCTGTTCCTTTCTTGCCGGTATTGTAGTTTCTGCTTACCTTTGCTTGGTGCCTAGTGACCACGTCTTTGGGAACCACTGGTGAGGAAAGACAGGAGAAACACAGGAAGCTAGGCTGGTGGGTGGGGGCATCACACAGGTATCCGTGCGCCAGTGTCCTGGGGAGCAGCCCTGTGGCCTAGAACATTCTCTGGAGCTGGAACCAGACTGCCTGGGTGGAACCTTGACCCTGCCACATGCTGAGCGAACTTGGGCACATCCTTAAACTCCTCTGCCTCTCAGTTTATTCATCTGAAATACCAGGATGACTGTGACAACAGTAATAGTTATCAAGCTGTGTGTGGATTGAATGAATTGATGTATGTAAAGTGCTTAGGACAGCACCTGGTACCACACGTGCCACATGTTAGCTATTTCAGCACACTTTCCACATACATGCATGTGCATACACATGCCCCCCACACATATCCATTCACACACCAATGCACATATGCACACACAAGCCCACACACACGTGCATGCGCGCGC